TAGCTCCTCGCCCTATGGTGCACCTGTATTATTCGTTCCAAAGAAAGATGGCGGCGTACGCATGTGTATAGACTATAGAAGGCTGAATGATATAACCGTTAAGAATGCTGAGCCATTACCCAGAATCAATGATTTGTTGGATCGAGTGCAAGGTAGTACTTCACTAAAATTGATCTGAAGTTTGGCTACCATCAGATTGAGGTAGAGCCAGAAGACCAACATAAGACTGCCTTTCGAACAAGGTATGAGCATTATGAGTTCGTGGTATTGCCCTTTGGTCTTACGAATGCACCTGCAACTTTCCAAAGAACGATGAATGAACTTTTTCGTGAATGGCTTGATAAATTTGTAGTTATATATCTCGATGATATTCTAATTTTTAGTAAAGATTTAAAAGAACATTGCGAGCACCTTCGACTTGTGCTAAATACATTGCGTGAAGCAAAATTGAAGTTAAACCCAAAGAAGTGTGATTGGGCTAAGCGTCAGGTTTTGTATATTTGGGGCATGTGCTTGATGGTGATGGTATCAAACCGGAAGATTCAAAAATTGTAGCCATTAGAGATTGGCCAAACCCCCGCACTTTGACTGAGTTAAGGTTGTTCCTTGGGCAAACCAACTATTATCGGAAGTTTGTCAAACACTTCATGATAATTGCTGCACCCCTTCGCAGGTTGCTTAAGAAAGAAACCATCTGGAAGTGGGATTCAAGACTGTACGGCTTCGTTCAAATGCCTCAAGAAATGTTTGATTAACTACCCGGTTTCGAAGGTTGTTGATCCTTCTGTGCCCTTTGTTGTCACAACCGACGCCAGTCGATATGGGATAGGTGCTGTACTTCAGCAAGATGATGGAAATGGGCACAGACCTGTAGAGTTTATGTCGCGACGACTGCCTAATGAGAAGGTCGCCGCTTCTACGTATGAGAGAGAGAGTTGTATGCTCTCAGAGAAACCCTTGATCATTGGCGACACTATCTCCTAGGAAGACACTTCAAAGTGTACTCAGATCATGAAACACTTAGCTGGCTCAAAACGCAAGTACGGATGACCCCTAAGCTGACTAGGTGGGCCGGCGAAATCGATCAATATGATTTTGAGTTAAAGCCAGTTAAGGGTAAGTACAACGTTGTTGTTGAGGCATTAAGTCGAAGATCTGACTTTTTCGGTGCCGTTGTGACATACCTAGATATGGGCACCGCTTCACAAGATAAAATTAGGAAAGCGTATTCCACAGATCCTGTCTATGGCGCTATGATCAAACATGTGCAAGAAGCGCCACAAGAGTTTCCTAACTATCGTGTTACACAGGGACTGTTGTTTGAACAAACACATGTGCATGACAGACTTTGCATTCCAAATGTGGAAGAGATCAAAAGCTTGATCTTAGGGGAATGCCATGATACTGAAGGCCATTTCGGCTGGAAGAAGACTTATGCAGGCCTGTTGCGTTCCTATACATGGCCTCGCATGAAAGCCGATTGCATTGCCTATGTGCAAGGTTGTCAAGTGTGCCAAAGAAACAAGAACACTACTCAACTTCCCCTTGGACTACTAGAGCCCTTGCCAATTCCAGCAGGACCAGGAGACTCATTGACTTTATGGATACTAAGGTGAAGAGCAGGAATGGAAAGACGCAAGTTATGGTCGTCGTCGACATATTTAGTAAGTATGCTGTTTTTGTAGCATTACCAGCGGAAGCTAAGACTAAATTAGTAATCCGGGAGTTCTTTAACCATTGGGTAAAGGATTATGGACATCCCTTGACGATTGTGAGTGACAGAGATTCACTTTTCACAAGTGAACGATGGCAACAACTTATGAATGTCTATGGCTCTAAGTTGACTATGTCGTCAGGTAGACACCCTGAGACAAACGGTCAGACTGAGCAAATGAACAAAGTTTTGCAGCAAACATTGCGCATGTACATCCGTCCCGATCAGATTGACTGGGATGAACATTTGCCCAAGGTTGCTAGTGCCTATAACAATTCTGTTCACCTATCTACATGCAGGACTCCGATGGAACTGCATCTGGGGTGGCGACCACGTAGATCCATTGATCGTTTGAATCCCGATCAAGTACATAAGCTTCCTCTAGGGACAAGTGAATTTGCAATACAGTATCAGAAAGATATTGAGAAGGTAAAGGAGAATATAGTGAAAGCACAACATCAAATGATAGAACAGGCAAATAAGCATAGAAGATCATCTCAATTTGCTGTAGGTGATTTGGTGTGGGTTAAGTCCAAAGAGTTTGCTCCTGAGGAGAACATCTCTCAGAAGTTACTACCCGCCTACAGAGGGCCTTGGCAAATTCTTGATGTGGTTGGAGAAGTAGACGGACCTTCTTATGTAGTTGAGATTCCTCTTCATTTGCATACATATCCGGGGTTTCACGCCTCAAAGCTTCTGCCTTGCGTGACAAATGAGTTGTTTCCCAGTCGCAGATCGGCGATACCTCCTAGCATGGATGGGAAATATGACGTGGATAAGATTGTTGCTGAGAGCACTTTCCAAACCGGACTCAGAGGCAGACCCCAGTGACAATACAAAGTAAGGTTTGCCTATCAAAATCCAAGTGAAGATCACTGGTTTACAAGAGAAGACTTGAGTCTGCACCTCAGATTGTATCTGCATATGAAAAAGCTAAGAGAGGAATAAGTACAATTGATAGATGAAGGTTTTCTCAGAGGACTTTGAATCTAGGCCGGCGAGAGT